ACTACTTGACATTTATAGATCGTTAAGGGAAAGCCCAGAACCTGTGGCTCAGAGTTTTGATTTGATTACTGGCAACTGAGCATAAGGGACAATCAGCAACAGCAGCACAGAGGTACATGTACGAAATACACCACCAAACCAGGATTAAAATTGAGATATCCATCCAATGCAGACAACCACCTGAGTTTGTAGCTGAAGATATCTGAAGATTCTTGCCTAAWCTACCAAAAGATGACAGAGGAAAACATGATAGGCATAAAAATCTAGGTAAAACACAGTTGTATGCTATTTGCTAGTTCAAAATGCACTGAGTCACAGGTTCAATATGGGGAAAGGGCACTGAAACTTCATTGCGGAGGTTCCTCAGCCCTAGCCATGGAAGGAACCCAAGGGATGAGAGGAGATAGAGTTGCACCTGATTCCACAGCTGCAACTGTAGCCCTCAGGTATACAAATATTTTTACTAATAGGAGCAGTTAAACAGCAGTCAGTACCAGCTTAAAACATGGTCAAAAAATCAACTTCTAAAACTCAGTAAGAGTTTTATAAAGCAAAATCCAAATAAGAAAGGTTATTACTAGGTGTTGAAAAGGCATAGTTGGGCATTTTTAACATGGAAATATTTAAATATCTACAAGACAAGACTCACATAGACCTGTGGTCATCAAAATTGAAAATTCCCTTGTTATTTAAGAATTTAAAAAAAAAAACACATGCTCATAGGCCTCTAAGGCTCAAATCTAAACCTTAAATTATTTCATTTTAGTTACTTATTTAGAAATGACTAGGAGCATATAAGCAGCAGTTCAACAGAAAATGTGATAACTTAATATTGGAGTCCCTTTGGAATGTGTGAATTAAGTGGGAAAACTTAAGAGTTGCAACTAAAAATAAAACTGTCAGATGCTATCAAGAGAAAGAAGGTGGAAGAGATTTTCAGTATTATAGCCATACTTTGCTTGCTGAACAAGTGACAACTTCTGAATATTTACCACCTACGACATGGTTTATTCCTGATAAAAGCATTTGTAGCGTCAGTAAGGCATGAACTGCTTCAGTGTCAAGCAGACATACCAGAAGTTTCCCTMCTGCTTTAAAACATCCTAATGTTCTCTATGCTACCCTGCAACTTGGTAACACATTATTTTTACATGCAAACAGGGTTATTTTAAGTCAATTTCCCTTTTGCAAGACTGTAAGTATGCAGTCAAGGTCAAAAGTGGAGATATAAATTTTAAGGAAATTGGAAGCTAGCACAGTTTTCAATTTTTGCATCTGAAAACCAGGGTTCCTATTAAATTGTCCATTTTCAGCATCACAAAAAAAAAATCAAGCAGTTCAACAGTATTACAGATGGCACATTATACTTTAAATGACTACTAAGTGGCAAACACCCAAGGCAACTATTCAATAGGAAATGTTTACCAAAAAAGCAAGCATTAAGAGCATAGGTGGGCATCTTGCTGTAGATTCCTTCCTTCAGAGGTCCCCAAACGCTGCRGTTTCTGCAGGGATAGACCTTTGCCTTAGCAGAAAAAAAAAATCACAGCAATTTGTTGTGAGGCTCTGTGAGTGTCCTGGAACCCGTGTGAACACTTAGCATCAACTCCTGCCTCAGAGAGGTGTGTAACAGTAGCTACATGACCTGCAGAGCCCACAATTCTTCAATCCTACCCAACTATCGATTCCAGGTTTAAAAGACCTAGAAGAAAGGTTTAATTGAAGAGCAAGCTAGCAACCACACTACATAAAAGTGACATGGATAACACTTTTTCCCCCAAATTTAAGGGCTGAATTAGAAACCCTAACCTCACACATTTTATACTTGATTTGGCAAAAATGAGTGTTATTTMGTTTCACAGACCAACAAAACTGAACTGAGCTAATAAAATGCATTAAGAGAAACAAGGGGGAAAGGAGGGTTAATAAGCATCTCCTTTTGTTCTATTAGAAAGTCTCAAAGATGTGGAAAACAACATGTAACATCATTTCTAAAGGAAAAGCACTGGGAGTGACAAAAATTAGACCCCAAGTTACGGCAGAAAGAGCTAGACTTTTTGATTAAAGAGGAAATTACTAATTTTTGGAAAAATTAAACTTAGAGAATATTATTGTTCTGAACAGTTAATGACATCCCTAAGCTCAGAGTACATTTCAAACTGAACTCACGGCCGTGGTCAGAAATAGGAACACGCTTCTCTGACCAAGCTATCCTAMCTCCTCTGCAACTTTACCCACGCTCCTTACCTTCCATGTTTGTCATACAGAGAATCAGAACACCCTCTCCTTACGGCATTCAGAACCTTTAGTTAGGGCACAAAAGGGTTATAGGGTTTTTTTTTCCCTCACCAAAAATATATATATGAAAATAAATTAATGAGCATCACATAAATAGAAAAAGATCAATCAAACAGTTCTTCACATTCCGAAATTCTCGTCACAGTCTGGTCCTGTTTTACCTTTCCTCTCTCCCACCACTAGTTATAGACTACACATATCAATAAGTAGCTAGAGACAGATGAGCACATACGCATAGCAGATGTCTTCACATGTATGCAGAGAAGGGAAAGAGAGGCTGTTTTTCTTTACAGCTTCTACCAATTCACATACGGAACAGATGCATTCTATTTCCAATCACAAGACAATGATACCCTAATATGAACTTAATGTATTTTTCACTTGGAGAGTATAGTACAGTTTCACAAATACAAACCAAGATAAAAGAAATTTGTCCAACAGGTGACATCTCCAAAAACTGTTTTATTTAAAGTTTCCGGATGCAGAAGATTAAGAAATTAGGCTTTTTGGGCACTTTTGTTTAGTGCCCTTCCCATGCAATATATGATACGCTAAACTAAGCACTTCACAGGAACTTTAGAAATCTTAAAATTGCAATGAAACAAGTGTTTGACATGACTTTTAAAGACTTTTATTCTTTTATTTTTACTCAAAAAAAAAGTTTAGATTTGATGAAAAAACAGCAGAAAACAAATTTAATTACGTCAATAGTTAACAACTAAATACCAAGTTCCAAACTAAAGGAAATCAAATCCATGAAAATAATTTTATTGGAGAAGTTTAATATACATAGACGTTTTCTTGATCTAATTCTAATCATTAGATTTGCATCGTCTTCTACTACCAGCAGCTTTTTGACTGTTCTGTTCAATTCACGGAAACAGATTCTGTAGATCTCTGGGATCAGAGCTTCTGCACACAAACACAAGCACCCACCTCTTCCTCTTAAAGCGAATGAGACTTCCATTACTTTCTAAAGATCATCACAGGAATTTCAGTTCAAGACATTCTTCAGTGAAAGATATGAGGATATGAAAAATTGTGAAAAAAATCTGTATATTCTTCCTGCACAAACTGTGCACCAGCTATAGGAGAGGAAAAAGCTTGAGATAACGAGCACAATCTAAAACCCTTGCAGTGTGAGTATATTCATGATAATTGACAGGGGTCTGAGTCCCACACTAGGGCGCTACACTCCGTGAAATCAAGGCAAGCCTTTCAGCACCACTGCTGGTTTTGATGAGCCATGCAGAGCTCACCTTTCCTCACCTGATTGGAATAAGGATGGGGTAAAGCATTTACATCGCACTGTGCCAAGCAGCAGCACATGCAAAGAACACAAACCCTGGGAAAACTCCTGGAGCAAAACACGGTGCCATTGGGGAGCTCCTYGCCGAGTGCTCTGCACCACCACTGCTCACTTACGCTTTTAAAAAGGAGACTTAAACTCTTCGCAAGTTTTAAGATCTACCCTGCAATCACACAACAACATGGCTGGATAATTAAGACATTAACATCAGCTGCAATTAGAATAAATCAGGCAACGAGTTATGAAACAAAGAAAAAAAGTTGAAAAAAAATCTTTATCTCAGAGAGAATGTTTATGTTTCCTAAGTCCAAATTCAACCTTTTACTCCTCTTAATAAGTTAACTACTCTTTGTTCCCAATGTATTAATGAAAAATGAACTAATGGCAAAACTATCACAATGTACCCAGCAGGGCTCATACAGTTTAACTTGYCATTCTGAGGAATTTCTTTGGATATTTTACATAACATTAACAGCCCGTAACAGAATAGACCATTGTTTCAAGAGACGTCACTAATGAACTAATGTTTAAGACGAGGATTTTTTTCTGCTCTCGCCTAATTATTTGAGATTCTACAGACAAGTTTTACCTTCASTGCTTGAAAGACTGACACAAACAGGGTACTAGATGTAAGGTAACCTCATAAAAAGAGGAATAAAAATAATTTTAAAAAAGTAACAAAATGCCTCCAAATTAATTTTTACAACAATGTGAAAATGGCTTATTTCACTCAAACCATCACTTGGTTGACAGCATCCGTTCCGAGCTTGTTTTCCTCAGGGAAAAAAAAAAAAAAAATCTTGAGAGCACTAAAAATAAACGGGTACATAAACTGCATGTCACACAGCAGCAAGATGAAACTACTATATTTGGTTAAGCGCACAACTTCCCACTCAAAAAGGAGTTTAATAAAAAATAAATAAATAAAAATAAAGGAAAAAGGCATCACTCGGAGGACGGACAGGGGGAAGGGAGAGGGGGTGCGCGGCGAGGCTGCCCCCGGTGCGAGGAGGCGCGGGAGCCTCCGGCGGGCAGCGCCGGGCGGCAGCGCTGCCCGTTCCCGCGGCGCACGGAGCCCGCGGGCACCGCGCCGAGGCGGCCGCTGCCGCCGCGAGCGCCCCGCCGGGGCGGGGAGGCCCGGAGCGGGCCCGTCCTTGGGGACGACACGAGCAGGACGGCGGCGCCTCAGTGAGGGGAGGCGGCGCGCGCCCCCCTTCCATTCCCTCCCCCCCCCGCCGCGGCCCCTCCCCGCAGCTGCCGCCTCAGGGCGGCAGGGACGCGGCCGAGCGCTGCGAGGAGCCGGGAGGCTGCGAGGCGCCGGGGGCCGTCCCCGCGGCGTGAGGCCCCCCGGGAGCTCAGCGCCATCCGTCCGGCCGCGGGGCGCCGCGGTTACCGTGTGCGGTGCCGAATTCTCGTGGTGTTTGTCGAGCGGCTGCGATAATGGCGTCCTTCCTCGCGAGAGATCTCCCTCTGCGCAGCGCGCACGCGCCGCCGCGCCGCTCCCGCGCGGCCCCCGCCTGCCCCGGGTGCCCGCGCACGCGCAATGCGGGAGGCGCGGCCGCGCGGCSGCCCGCGGCCGCCGCAGACTACAACTCCCAGAAGGCAGCGCGCCAACCCTTCGCCCCCGCCCTCCCCGAGCASGCCGGGACCTGTAGTACACACTCTAAGCGCGGGGCATGCCGGGAATTGTAGTCCCGCCACACGCGCTCTCCGACTCCCCACACGCCGCCGACACGCGCCCCTCTCCTCCTCGTTCTCTAGTTTCCTCTTTCTCCCGTAATTCAACCCGTTTCACCCTCCCGAAAAGCAAACCCAGCCCTAGCACAGGCCCAACAATCCCTTCTTGGTCAGGCTGGCACGTTGCTTTTCTCTCCTACACCTTCAAATCCTCCTTTCGTTTCTCCCTACTCAAGGGGAGCTCGCGCACTCGCAGCACTGAAATGAGGTGATCTGAGTGCAAGCTGTCAATGTATTAAGGAGAAGTGTCACCATACTCAGTGAAGAGCAGGCAGCAAGTGGGAATTGGCTAAATTAGCTCACCAGATTGCTTTTTTAACTCTTGCTTTATTTCTGCGATTGGTGCAAGAACAGAAYGAAGGTGGAAAACCCAAGAATGACAAAAATAGGCAAAAGCACGAAAAGAGAGCATGGAAGGAGATTGCAGGCAGCTCTGAAAGAAGCTGATAAGAAGCGATTCTCTGAAAGAAGATGCTTGAAGATTGTTTCAAGATAATTAAGTGCTTAAGATTACTCTAGCCTCATGTTCCCAAATGAGAGTGCCATCAGATTTATCTTTCAGCCTCTGCATGGCTAGYAGTGGGGTTTGGATTTCTGCATTAAAAAAAGTGCTCCACGAACGCTGTCCTGGAACGCAACCAAATCCTTCCAGCTTCGGAAATGGCTTCTTGTCCCAATTCCCTGCAGGCCTGTGGCTAAAGCACTATGAGCTGGTGCTGTAGATGCTGGGCTGGCTTGAAACGTCCCTTGGGTTCTGTACCCCCGTTATGTGCAAGCCCTGGGTGACATTAAACGCACATGTTGCAGCAGCTCCTGTTTCCACAGCCCTTCAGACCCCAGGGAGCCAGTTTCCTCCTGTCTGGATGTTATGGAGAGGGTCCAAGAGAGGTGCTTAAAGGGGTCTCATGTTTCATGCAGGGAAGTGTATGTTGGCAGCAGCACATGCACGGTGCCCGTTTTGGAAACTGCTGCTAGTAASTGCTCAAACCGGTGCTTTTAGTATTAAAGAGTTGTCACGAGTCTGGGAATTACCAGCCCGCACTTCAGGAAAACCCTCGCTTYTGCTTCCAGCTTTGTAACTGCTCAGCTGAGGCCATAGATTAATTAATTTACTGTGTTCTCTTCCTCCACAAGCAGATTAGCAAGTTCACAGGTTAAASTGCTTATAAAGTGACTTTTCGCACAGGGTTATTGCACGCTTTGCTGCACAGATTTGCCCTGCAACACGTTTGGCAAACAGTTTCTGCTTGCACTCAAGCAACTGCCAGATCCCAGCTAGAAAAACAACGATGCAAACGTCGGTGCATCCTGCATCGCGGAGAGCTGCTGGTAAATCCTCTGCCATCATAATCCAAACCCGGTGCTGAAGCTGCGCTGCTTTTCCCATCAGGAGATTSCCTCCCAGAGAATATTAGCTCGTGACCTGCTGAGGCTTGGAGCTTCCCGGCTTCACCACGTGGCCAGCAAGTGACATTGCAGGTAAAACACCACAAAACAGAAAACTGCCATAAACTGGTGGTAATGCTGTTGTAAACAGTGACTGTAACTCCAGGGTATACTTGCAGGACCCAATTAATCTGTGTACAGATCAGAGATAGCAGCATAATAAAAAACAAAACTGCAATTTAAGAGAGGGTAAATACAGCACAATCTCCTGCTGGTGACAAGTATTCACGACCATTTCAGCGGTTTGTAATACACGATTTTCTATCTCTTGTCTTGTAAGTGCTTCCTTTGCTCCACAATAACTCCCCAGCTCTGTGAGCTTTCAGGAATGTGCTTACCTGAACATCCGTGCAATAAACGTCAAGAAATTCAGGGTACTCCCCCTCTAGGAAAGCAGCTCTTCACTTTATCCATGGGTGAGAGACTGCACATGAGCAAACACTAAGGAAAAGCTGATAAACTTTTAAGGCATATTCTGGCTTAACCCATGGTAACTTGTTCCAGCACTTCTGTGCGTAGGGTCAAATCCAGTCTTGTTTTCCCTCCCCCTTGAAAAAATGAATAGGAACTTCAGGGTACTAATAAATKATTTTTATTTTTTAATTTTATAGAGGGAAATGCATCCTGTTGCCCTGTTGATTGCTATGCTAAAATCAATAAAAAAGATAATTTGTTTTAGTTTTTCTCTCTCCTTTTTTCCATACTCACTTTTAGGTATTTCTTTCTCACAGTTTATGTACATGTTAATTCTCTCTGTTGTGTTATGAAGAATCATTTAGTCCCAGGAAACATGTAGCTTATTTTACCTTCGTACCAGCATTCACTTACTATTGTTTCCCAAGGAAGTTACTGCTTTCACATGTTTTGTGTGGCTCACAAGAGATTGGCATCTCATTCATTGGCTTCCTCCTTGTTGTTGTTAGTAAAAAGACCTACCTAGCATCAAAGGTAAAAAATTAACACACCATGCACACTGTTTTGCAGCTGCAGAAKCAGCAGGATAACGAAGGTTGCCAAACAAAGCATTTGTTTAAACAAGTGACAGGCATTTATAATTATACTCACTGCTGAGCATGTGAATATAGAAACAAAGGCATGAAGAAAATGGACACGATCAAGGCATAGGAGCAACTCCGGAGTATTTGCCAGAGGAACTCTGTAGGTTTTCTTTCTTGTGTCTTTTTTTTTTTTTTTTTTCTTCCTCCTGAATAAATTCTATTTATTTCAGTGAAGATCCTCCTGATTTGCATGAGTGAGGAGAGAGGTGGCCTTGGATTCCCTTAGCAGAAAGGAAAACGTTGTTATGTATTCAGCCTAGGCAGCTGGTCAAAATTCAGGGTCTTGTAAGGTAATTTTTGCTAGACGGAGAGATAAGGTGAGAAGGGTCAGGCATGATCCGAGTGGTCCTTTATTTATTTAGATACTGTTTCACTTCCCTGTATACACTGGAAGGGAGGTGATAGGAGGCTATTCCCCTTCTCAGAAATCTGCCATCCCAACAACTTTTGCATTTGCCCTTTGCTCCGCTCTGACCTTTCCAGGATCACGCTCACTGCTGCTTCCATGGCCTTTTGCTTCTGATCCACAGGCGGGATCTTTGCCCAACATTTGTTAGCTTGCCCAGCCTAGTCCAACCTTGCCAAAGGCCACATGTACTTGCAAGGTACTGTGATCATTTTCAGTACTTTTTAATTCACTGAGATTACTAAAATTAGAGCTCATAGCAACTAACGGCTATAATGGATTTTATTCTTTTCTATAAATTGGATTGCCTGAGAACTACCTTTTTGTTCCCTGTGCAGTCCTCACCTTCATTTTTTTTCCCCCTCCTTATTTTCCTTTTAAGAAATCTAGATAGAAAATCGTGTATAACATTGACATGCCATTAATGCTATTACTCGAAGCAGAATTTGACCATCTGTCTGTCCTGGACCTGAATTCACCTAGAGACATGTTCAAAAGTATTTGCAATGTAATGCAGTTATTTCAGGTGTGAGGGGTAAAATGAACTAAGTATAAAACTTAATGTAGCTGGGCTGTGTTAACAAGAGCATGACCAGCAGCTCCAGGGAAATCTAAATCACCTTTCTTCCCTATGCAGCGCTGGCAAGGGCGCATCGGGAAYGGTGTATCCCGGGTTTTACCACATAGTACAACAGAGATATTGAGAAATTGCAGGGAGTGGAGATGGCTGGGGGCTAAACGAGCTGCATTAGCAAGTGTTTTGGCCAATTTTGGACATGACAGAAAAACTTCCTTTAGCCTGAAGAAACATGTAACTCATGGGAAACAGATGTTAATCCGCATGGAATACAGGTATTGAAGCCTRCACAGTAATAGCTGCTCGGTGAAGCTGCCCTAGGTGATATTTTTAGTCACTCCATAGAGATTTCRCATATATCCTTCAGCAGCAGCCCCAGCCCAGGCAGCTTCCTGCTGCTTGACTGATCATCCTGTCACTGTTACATAACAACACCTTGGTGAGGAAAATGTTAGTTATGAAACCTCTTCAGTTGGATCTCCCTAATTAAAGTAGAACTGTAAGACTACATTTTTGTCGGGTTTTGGGTTTGACTTGGCAATATTGCAAATAAGGCAGCATGAGGATGGGAACGTTCTTTTCAGCTGCAAACAACCATCCCCTTGACCGCACACACTGCAGTCACTTCCCCAGGCACCACGGGCACGTTCATTCCCTGCGACTGAGAAGGCAATTGCAGAACCCTGGCATGGATCAATGAGCTCGTTTTCTCCCTCTAACTAGCAAGACTCATTTGAAATTAACCAGAAAAACGGACATAGTAGCAGCCCTCTAGCAAACATCAGGAAAAAAACAAATATTGATTCTTCCTATCCAGTTTGGAGACACAGCAAAAGCCAAACAGAGAGGGACAGCAAGAGATTTCTAGATTTTACCTCTAGTTTCTGTGCAGACAGCAGATTTCCCTTGTACACAGCGACACTCCAGATACACAAACACACAGTTATGAGCAGCAAGAGGAGTCTGAGTTTATAGTTCCTCTGTAAGCAGAATCCCTAGCTGACCATAGTTTGTTCTTAGCCACTCTCAAGTAATGCAGCAGTTAATAAGAGACAAACATTAAGAAATCTCCTAAATTGTTTGAGGATAGAAAACAGCACAGATAAGCCCACCACAGTAGGATACCAAAGAGGATTCCCTGTGCCTGAGCCTGGCACTCATTATATACCCTGTGATAAGAGATGTAAGAGAGGAACGTGTTTAATGAAAATATCAGCAAGTAAATGACTTCCTAACGCAAAGCACCAGCATTTCTTAAAGTTAATTAAAAAGAAACAACGTTAAAACACTTAAAAACGTGTCATGTGCAATTTTATGAGTTAAACAGGAAATAACTTTTAGCAAGAGCATGCTAATAGTATTTTTACTTTTGCTTGTCCCATAGTTGATAGATTCTATAACTTTCAAAATATGCTATTACCTACTTTTTTATCTCCAGTGTACTTAGCAGATGAAAATAATAAAATGCCAAATACTTACACAGAAACTATTAAAGGGCCTGTAGATCTCTTAYGGTGTAAGGGCTCGAGGTCACTAATTGGCTTTAATGGCCCTGACCAGCATCAGCTGGTGCAGCCACCCACCCACAGCCCCCAGAGCTCCATTTAAGTTCAGGCCTGGAGGCCTAAAGTCTTTCAGTGTGTCTGTCTTCAGGCTTGCATCTGGTAGTCTTCTAGATGGGCTGTATCTGTGCTGTAGTTTGTCCATGTTTCTTTCTGTTTCTGCCTTGATTCTCTGAGAAGACCTTGCCCACGATTTGCTCCCTTGTTTGGGACCGTCCATGGATCTAATTGCCAGCACCAGTGGAACTAAACTGAGTGGAGAGGTAATGAGGGTTCTTTATTTCTATCCCTGTTTCTAGCTGCTATGAAGCTACCCTTTTCTCTGGTTGTTTTTTTAAATATTTCAGAAGAGCAAATTCTTTACCTTAAGATGGTGCAATGGTTCTGTTCTCTATAACACTTGCACGTAAAGTACTTGCCTGCAAAAGCCTGCTCCCCTTTCTCTACTCCTGGCAAGTTCTCTATATCCACTAAATCTCTGTGACCTCTTCAGCAGCCACCCCTCCTGAGAACTGCAACTGTTCATCATCCCAGGCTTGTTAGCTATCACACAAGCATTCAAATTCAAAGAATGTAAGCCTGAAGATAAGACCTCCCCTTGCATACAAAAGCATGGTATCTCCAGCCYGTTGGTGTAGTTGAAGCAAGATGAAAAAGGCCTGGAAAACACATGTGGAATAATTATCAACTAGCCCTGCCTCCAACAAGATGTAGAGCCAATGAAGAAGACAGCTTGGGGACAAGTTGAAAATTAACTTTTGGATTAGCTTCCCCTCTCTCTAGCCATGCTCTCTGCACTCAAAATTTTGTTATGAGTAGGWCTGGAAACCTTGGTTGTCCTGAAGCTGTCTATTCAGAGCATCTTTTTTCTTCTATCTTTGTGCTGATAGGTTGTCAGACTCTGGAAACCTCCTCTGGTTGCTTGACTAATTGAAGATATCAAGTGCCATGATGACAATAATGAACACAATGAAGATGATCACTCTGGCCCACTTAAACAAGCAGCTGAAGACTGTCTGGAGCTCCTCTGCACAGGCAGCGCAACGACTCTGCAGCCTTGTCACCTGCACTCCTAAAAACAGGAATAAGGCATGTAAGTGTATTTCACTTTATTAAAATACCTTCTATCTGCTTAAGTGAGAGGCAGAAAGGTAAAAAGACAAGTAGTGTTATTCTTCTTTTGAGCTAGCATCAARAAAGGGAATTTCAGAATGTGACTGRAATAGAAGAGAAATAGGAGATAGATGTATTGTGTGCATGATGTATTGAATTGCTTGAGCTCTCTGCATATGCAGCATTGAAACATAATTCTTCAATACTTCAGCAGTGCCAGTGTTACTGGTCTGCTTGTGCTTCTAAATTGCAACTAACTAAATTGCTTGTGCTTCTAAATTGCAACTAATTGTCTGAGGAGCAGACAAGGCAACAATTACCTTATAATTTTGTCATGCAAATTTTTGATTGGTTTTGACAAAAACTGCCTTTAAAATGCAATTCAAAACACATTTAGAACAAGTTGATTTTGAGTGAGTAAGTTTGATTAGACATTGCGATGTTTAATTCTGAAAACTGGGTCTAACAGAAGCACAGACTGTAAGAGCTTCCAAACGTGGTGTAGAGGGAAGTACACTTAGTGCGATGTAAAATACTGCTGGAATATATGAAGGATCTAGTTACTTGAAATACTGATTAATTTATCCACAAATATGACTTGTGGTAAGGCAAGCTACAGATTGTGCAGCTACTGACTTGTGTAGAGATAATGTCAGCTGGAGCAAGAGTAAAGAGTAATTTCTTACATCTAGAAAATGCCTTTAGTCCAAACTGTTTTTTTCATGCTGTAAATTTATCTTACTAACTTTTCTCAAAGGACGGCCTTGAATGCTGAGATGTGATTCTCTTTTTATATTTACTTTTGCCCAAGTGATGCAAAAGTGAACTATGAATTTTATGCAGGAGACATAAAGCACAATGGAGATTAGTACAAGGCTTTGTTTACATTGAATGCTTGAAGAAACACTTAATAATTGTATCAGTGCTTAATAGCTCTATGCTCATAAGTGCATTTGGGAAGATGACACCAAAATAATCTTCCTGTCACTGTGTGACTAGCATCTTAAACCAGTAGATAAACTGCCAAGTGTAGTCTGCAGTGYCTTGTATGTACTCCTAGATGGGGATACTTTATCTGTATCTAGCATGCAAGCTTCCCAATTGTTCAGCACATCRGAAGTAATGCGGAGCAGTTTTTATAAAGCTATAAACAGCATTTCCAATAAGTGTCACGTTTGTTTCCTTTCTCAACTTTCTTTATTGCTACTCAGAATAGAAAATGTGAGGTAGCTTTGTAATCTGCAAACAGCCTTTACAAAATAAAGCTGGGCTTAATTTCCTTGGGACAGCATCCCCTCTGAGATGCTCTAATTTACATGCTCAGTTACACCCCAGCTTGTATTGACTGCTCTCTGAGTACACAAGTAATTTAGGCTCCTAACTCTTGAGACACACCAACAGTGCTCAAAGCACAAAATCTGAATTGCTACCTTCACTTTTGGGTTCCAGTTTGAATCTTTCGTCTTCAGGACATCTCACTACAGTCCATCTGTCAGGGCATAAGTTGATATAACACAACAAGGCATCTGAGCAACCAATGCTGTAGTTATCTGAGTGATTTGCTTCATAAGGTGGCCTCCCTTTACTTGGCAGGTTGAGAGGGTTACTTTCTTGTGAATTCCTTCTTACTGAACTTGAGCAGAATCCTGTTGTTGTAACCTGTGCTTCTTTACTTAGAGCCCTTGCTGCATAGTAGGCACATGCTGATCCCATCTAGCAATTAATTACCTTGTCTTTGAYTTCTTACACTTAATATTATGAGGTAGCTATCTAATCACAAAAATCAAGTAATCTAAGAAATGCATTATTTAATTTTTTTAAAATGAGGATGTTCATTTAAGTCCAATGACTTCTGAGTTCAGAACTTGCACAGGCAATATAAATCAACTTTTTTAAGTGATAAAGTCCATGAATCAGCAGCATAGAGTGCATATCATGGACTTTAATTGTTTGTTCAGTATTGATATACCAGAAAATTTTGTGGCTTCTAGAAATGAAACCTTTAGAAATGTAAGATGGAACATAGTACAACTAAGTGTTAAATTTTTGTCATCAGTGAAGAAATTATTCTAGCAAAAAAAAGTGTGAAATAGTTCAGTGGAGTAAGAAGGCAAAGCAGGGAAGAAATGAAATCCCTGTATTTCAGCATGTGATGGAAAAATTCATTATTTCAGGATTATCTGACACCTGATTATCATCATTCTCCAAGAGAGGGCCAACTGATGTTATCTTTTCTTATTGAGGACACTTGTCCATTGGGAACTGCAGTGAGAAACTAAAACAGATTTCACATTAACAATTAAGCTTTCCTGGAAGAGATCACACAAGGCCATTCCATCACAAGACCACTGCCAATTAACTACACTTGCAAATCTAAATGCTTTCATTTACATTCCTGTCTTCTRTTTAAGACAGATGCTATTTATTACTTAAATCTCCTCCATGACATTCATGCAGGAAATGCCAAAACAAACTGAGTCAGGAAAACACTATCTTTGGAATGGTTGGTTTCTGCTGTCAGTGAATAGATGCTAGATCTGATTAAACCAGCCTGCGGGTTCCTCTCTCTGGAGACTAAACCCTGTGAATATAACATATTTAAAACTAAAAGCACATTAAATGATTTTTAGCTATTCACTAAACAACACATTCCCTTCAGGGACAAAGACTTGATCAAAGAAATAGGTTGTATTCTAAAGCCTAATAAGGTTAGACTCTAGATGCTGTCTTCAATGTGGAGTTAACTCAAGCCTTGTCTCTTATCCTTKCCTTCTCTTCCTCCTTCCCCCTTGCATAAAAAGCCTCTGCCCAAGCTGCATGATGAGGTTTTTCACTCAGCCCCTTGCTACAAGGATATAGATAAAACCACTCAAAGGCTGATATTTCYTAATGCAAGGCTGGTATTTCCTAATGCCTTTCCAGATTGTCCTTGTGTGCCTATGAGGACAAAAATATTCTGTGTATCATGGTGGAAAAAAACAGTATGACCTTGCTGAGAGGGATGGGATATATGAAGTAGCCAGTGGATGCCTGTCTTAAGTGCTGTTGGACCCAATAGCAATATGTGGAGCTCTTGCTGCTAGGTGCTTTTTAATATGACAGAGAGCAGATTGCTGGACAAGCTCTCCTTATGGGCCCTAAGGCTTTGGAATGTACCTTTGCCCTGGTAATTATTGCCAGAGCAGAGTTGAAGGGCTTATTTTTTTTCCTATTCTTTGAAAAGAAATTACAAGAAAAAATGAATCTTTCCAGGTTTGTTTAGGGATTGTGCAAGTGCAGACCTGACACGTAATCCAGGTGTGCCATCTCCAGGCCTGCACACACAATTGCAGTAACTGCACACAAATTGTCCATGTGATATCTCCTAAGCCCTTTCTGTGCTGCCTTACTAAGCCTGCATGCATAATTTTAGTAAATGTGTTTATACAGAAAAGATAAAGCCCCTGTTTGCTTTACGCTGCCAACTGGAATTACCTCTTCCTTATCTGGACTTAGCCTCAGCCTCTGCCTTCTCATCCAGGCTCCTATCTCGGCCAAACATTCCGGGAGCAGGGAAAAGCTCGGCGTTTCACAATCTGTTGCCGCTTTCCTGTTGAGCTTAGGCTGCTCTGTCAGTTACATCCGTTCGATAAAAAGCATGGGACTGTTTATATCAATAAATGGGCCTGCATCGCACTCCAAATCTAACATCAATTCAGCACAACTTTCAGCACCTTGTCAGGATGGACCGTGGCCAATGGTCGCTGTTATCCGCCTCCAAAATCTTGATTCATGTTGGGGGAGCCTCAAAGAAATCACCCTATCTCGGATTTCCTCCTTAATATTCAGTCCAAGTGGTTGAAGCAGAGCCACTGTCTCCTTGAGTTCACGTGGTTGTTCATTTAGGTGCAGTAATATGTTTGTTTGTATTTTTCCCAATTCAGAGTGTGTTGCTATGGAAAATCCTGCTCAGTTTAGCACAAAACCACTATTTCCTTGCTGTGGGTGGTGTTTCCCAGCTTGGGCTTCCCGCTGTCCTGTCCTCCCYGCTTTATTTCAGAGCAGGGTGAAATATGTTTGAGAGTCCCTGTATAAACAAACCCAGGGCTTTATAGAGCAAGTCTTTTCTTTCTGAAAGATTAGAATCACAAAGACTGCAAACCACGGAAGCTGAATCATCTTACCACTCGTTTTTACTTGACAATTACCTCAATTAATTTTATATTTTCTAATTTTACATTCTCTGTATGACAACTTTATTTTCCTCTTAKAATTAAGAATATTTCAGGCAATTGTTAGATTTTTTTTCTTTGCCAAAAACCAGATTGTGACAAACCATCGGTAATGCTTTTGCTTTTCCTACTTACAGTAGTGTAAATTGGGAACAAATCCCTTGATTTAGTTAAATTTATTTTGGATTTTTACCATAGAACTGTGACCTTCAACTGAAAATCATATTATGAATGATAATAATCTGCATTTTGGGGTGGAGTTTTGACCCCCTTCCAAAGCTTTTCATGGTTATTTGATGCTAAATGAACTTGCTAACAATTATTCTAACTGGAACCCACAGCTGCAACAAATTACAGAAAACAATTAGAAGTATGGAGCCATGCATACATTCCCAATATATCTACCTCAACTTGGAAAGATAGGAAGAAAAACACAGTGCAAGATGCCTCCAGATGAAGACTRTAAGCTTAAATGGAGCATTGCTTTGGATGAAAGGCAAAAAGAGCCCAGATCGGCTCYGCTTGCAGCAGATCTCCGTGGGTGACATATCTCACTCCTGCTTCTTATATTGTGGTRTTCAGTATGATTCTGCTGGCAGTGCCATGGAAATCCCCATTGGAGTACAGTAAATCAAGCCCCAGACCCTTCCTCAGTGCCGGGACCCTCATGAGGACAGGCAGAGCGCAGGGTGCAGACCACAAGCTGTGTTCATTTTCCCCTTTCTTWAACTTGCACATATCAAATCCAGTCCTGCGGGTAAGGCTTTGGTTCCGAGCTCCACATCCATCTGCATCCCTTGGCAGCTTACCCAGCTGCAGGCAGATTTGGGGTGGTGATGCACTCTGCATGCAGAAAGGGGACTCGGTTCAGGCACAAGCGAGGGCAGAGCTGAAACCTGCAGCCGGTCCAGAAACAGGGCAATTTGGAAGAAAACAGCAAGGTCATACTGTAGTTCTGCTTGGCTGCATGAGCAGCTCACCTCTCTTGCCTTRAACATCACCACTCTCCATGGTGTTGCTCATTTCTGCCATCCAGCTCCTCTATTCAAGGGTTTTCTTTAACACCCATTTTTACTAAAATTCATGATCAGTAAGAGTTGGTGTGTGAGTGTAAAGCGGAAGCAGGTCCTGCRGGTGACTCGGGAGGGAAATCGGTGAGTGAGTCAGTTATTTCCCTTGGCTTCTGCAGCCAAAGGGCTCATCGCTTGCAAAAGCCCGTGCAGCAGGACCTTTGCTTTGGTCATACCGCTTGCCCCACAAAAATACAATGACTCATCTGCTTAGTAGCTCCTTAATAAACTTCTATGTTCTATGTAGAGGATCATGCATTTACAATCAAAGGCTATTATATATATATGCCCTTAGCAGAAGGCATATCTTAAATAATAATCTGAAAAGSGAAATGTGTCTTAATCTGGGCTCAACAGATGCTGCCACTCGCATGTCACTGCGTGCTGTTGCCGTTGCACAAATGTTGCCCAGCGACCTGTTTCCTGAGCAGGTCATCACTCCAAGCGTGGCACCAGCTAAATATCTACCCTGTGACTCAGCTCAGAGTCTTTGTTACACTGTGAATACAATGGAAACCTATTACAAAATGTTGTAAAATAGAGCAAAGCGGATGCTAAGCACAAGGTTACACATCTTGCTAGATGCATTCTGAGTGTTTTTCTCCTCGTTTCGGCAAAAGGTTCTCTATGTTAGATTTCTCATGAAAACCCAAAAGCACTAACAGGAACGAGGACCCCAGGGAGATAAGCACACATCGGGAAAAGAGGGATTTTGAGAAAGTCCTCAGGAGGTGATGCCAAGCGGGTGCTGGGATTAAGGAGCAGCATGGAGGCCGGCTGTCCCCTCCAGGGAYGCGGCAGGGATGAGGACGGTGCCTTGGGGACGGGCAGGGTGGAGCAAAAGCAGCCGGAGAGGAGCGAGGGTCCCCGACGGGAGCCGCGGGCCGGGGCCACGCGTGTCCCGGGGTGAGTCACGCAGAGGGGGCGGCCGCGGTGCCTCCTCCGCAGCCCAGGGCCGGAAGGGGCCGGGCCGCGGCTGGCGGCGGTGCCCGGTGCCCCGCAGGCTGCTCCGCGATGCTGCTGTCGCCGCTGCTGTCGCCGCTGCGCCGGGCGCTGGCGGCCGCGTGGCCGCAGGGGAGGCGCCGCTGCAGCCTGGGGACCTGCTGCTCCTACCGCCTGCGGGACGCCCGTGAGTGTCGCCGCCGGGACCCCGACCCGGCCCGCTGCCCCCGGCCCGKCCGCTCGGGCAGCGGCTCCAGGAGCCGCCGCGAAAGCCCTGCGTGCCCCCGGCAGCTCTTTCCCCAAGCCCGAAGTTCTGCCCTTTGCCGAGGGGGAGACGGTTCCGCTCCGGGGCCAAGGCGAGTCCCGGCGGGTCCGCAGGCAGCCCTGGCKGCTCCGAGGCTGCCGTGTTTTGCACCGGCCGAGCAGGGGAGCCCCGAGCCCTGCGGCTGCCAGGAAACCGCAGGCAGAGAAGCAGCTCTCGGTTCCATTTTAATGCTGAACACACCTCTGTTGAAACTCTGTTCCTGCCTCTGCTCTGCTTCTGGRAGTTAATTCTGTGGGCTTTCCTGCCAGGCTTGTGGATCCTGCACACGTTCTGGATCTTCCCTGCAACGCAGTCAGTGTTTGGGGGGCCTCAAGAGCTCTGTCCTTAGCACTGGGTAACTCCTAAACTCAGCCACATGTAGGGAAAATATTTGGGCACCCTCAGGAGAGTAATTTTTGCTCCAGACTGGGGATTCTCCAGTGTCTGGTTTGTTCCAGGAGTTAATGGTACGGAGGCATAAAAAAAACCTGAAGTGATACAGCAAAGAAGGAGAATTTCCTTGGGGCATTTGCTGGTGCAGGGGGGATATCAGCAAAGCTCTAAGCCAAAGGACTGTGCTTCCCTGGGTAGCTCTGAATCGCACGACTGGAATGTGTTATTTCCCTTAACTTCTCATGCATCAGCTGACTAGGCGTTAGCCCTAGACGGCAGTATCCCAGGGCACCTGCTCTTGCCAGAAAGTAGTTTTAAGTTCTGCATCATGCAATAGAACCTGACTCTTCTTTTTTTCTTCTAGTGCATCCACTTTGGCAGAGCCCTCTCTCCATTCCCGGGGGCACGCGCCAGTCTCCTATCAATATACAGTGGAGAGAYAGTGTTTACGACCCCTTTCTGAAGCCCCTGAAAATCAGCTACGACCCCAGCACGTGTCTGCACATCTGGAACAACGGATACTCGTTCCTGGTCGAGTTTGATGATTCTACTGATAAATCAAGTAAGCAACWCTTGGGAACATCTGACTAATGTGTGATTCTTGCTTTGGGTAGCAAACCTTGCATGCAGTAAAATCCCAAGTTCAATAACAAAACAGAGGTCGAAAACATATACATAGCAGAATAGCATTTTGGCTAAGCAGGAATTTACAGTTTTGAGAATTGTAATGCAGAAAGTCTGTACATGCTTCATATTCCCTATATATTTATCATATAAAATATATAATACATTCTGTATAAATTCTCYACTGTAGGGTGACATTTACTCTTATCAAACAAGCGTTAATGGTCTGCCTTTTGTTTAGCTCTTTATAATATCACAGCTTTGTCTGCATGAGTAGTATGTATAATGTGTGTATATATAGCGGCTTTAAATGCAATTCTATCATTAACTGTTAATAAAGTAATCGGCCACTTATCTCTCCTCAAAATGTTAAAAGCTGTTTTTAATGCATTCAAAATAATCAGCGGCAGAATGAACTTTCAGTGGAAAAGCATAYGTACTTATCTCAAGCTTTTGGAGATTTAAGTAATACCGAGCTGCTGCTTGTTGCTTTAGCATAAACAAAAGTCCATATGTGCAAAACCCAATTAGGTGTTCCTATAATTTGTTGCAACTAACGACTCTGACTGAAGCAGCTGTGTTTTTTGGAGTGTTGTGTGTATATACAAGCAATTTTCCAAATTAGGGYACTGCTACCCAATTCAAGATTTCCTTTCCATTGTGCCTTTTAAAGCCTTTTAAAGTCACTTTCACCAAAGTATATATTGCTGTTTTGTATAAAGAGGTTATTGAGCAAAGCTCTGTGAACTGGTAGAGGTTCACCAGGAACACTGAKCAGCATCTGACTCATGCTGATGACTCAACATGCCTTGGAGGGAAAGGTTGAGGGACCCTGGCTAGGTTTGAATGGCTGGTTAGAGTCATATCTCTTTAAACCGTGGGATTTCATAATGTTCTTGGGAGGCGTTTGGCACGCGGAGCAAGTGTTTTGTCTCCTCGAAACCAGTATATTTGGTTGGTGTTTRGAAACAAGCTGAGAAAAACACTCCGCCTAAGACAACACATGGAGATTTCAGGGTGCTGGGTGCATGTTTTTAATTTCATTATTTCTCACTGTTCCCCCAGTTACTAGTTTCCAGTTAGGGAATATTCTACTAAGTGTTCATTTCAGGGCTATAATATATAATAAAGAACCAGGAGGTAGTGCCCTTTTATTTTCACAGTGCAAAATGCAGTTGTAGCTGTGAGCTGGTGTTAGAGGAGACAGAGTTACTAGCAAGCTCATCAGTGATGTTAACTGTCTTTAACCTGTTCTGCTTTTAACACCCTTTTACTTTATACAGCCATATCCTGTCATTTGAGGATGTGTTTCAGAAAAGTGTGATGGTTTGCTGTTTAGTGTATAAAAAAGCCTTTTTTCTTGCTGCAAGAATTAATATAATAGAGGTGGGGTGCATGCACCAGCTTAAAAAATACGCAGCATTTAAATAATCAGGGGCAGCCTGTGATATAGAAGCGAACTAGGGATCGTGAGGGCTGTCGATCAGAGGGAGTTCTGGCTACTCAGAACAAATCACAGSTCTGAAAGAGCTCAGTGGTTTCATCCTGGAGCCCAGAGGCTCGAAATAAATCCTTAGGCATGAACATTCTCGTTGACGCCTTCAGGACAGTCACCTTTTTATCATCACCATCGTCCTCAGATGAATTGAAGCCAGTGAAGAGTGAAAGATGAAACTAGGGTGGTGATGACAGCTAGTGGAGGATGGTTTTAAATGATCAGTGACAGAACTSCCAAAATGACAGAAAAGCAGCAAATTTTGGGGTGTTTCTGTATAAACTGCCAGCTTTCCAAGTGCAYGCCTCCCTTCTCTACTTTTCTCTCTACTTTTGCTATTTCTGCTTTTTCTTTCTGCCAGCTTCTTTCTAACCATATTAGAAATCCAGAGGAGAAAAGCTTATGAATAAACAAACAAAAAGAGGCAAGAAAATTGGGAAGAGAAGATGTAAAAGCCAAACTGAAGCATGTGTCCAYGGTAGCATGCAGAGCTCCCAAGATGAGGCAGAACAAGACTTGGACAAAATATGAAGGTAGTGCTCCCTTGGGGTGTTTGCTTATGAACAGAGCAGGAGGATGAAGAGGCAAGAGGGAGTGGGGAAGGTAGGTGAAGCTTGTGGTCCTGTCTGTGTGCATGAATGCCATCTTCCTCAAGGAAATGAGCCTGAAATGCAGCTAGGGCTGGAGAACTGATGCGATAGCCTCAATGATAGACTCATTGGAGGCTCTTTAAACTTCCTGTTTGCTTTGAAATTGCCAGCACTTACACAGTTGAGAAGCAACAGAGTGCAAAACTGTCTGGAAAGGGATTGTAAAGCCCTGTTTATTTSCTCTCTTTTTCCAGTGTCCACCATAAAAACCTGATTTTGTACGTGTGTGTGCCTGTGCCTAACTACTCATGAGCAAACGTTCAAGTGAATGTGATTCTTCATCTGAATGTAGTGACTTGGAAGGTCTGCACTTTCACCTAATCAGCAATGCACAATATCAAGAGCACAGAAGCCTTAATTCTGACTTTCTAAGACTTGGCAGTGTAGTCCGTATCTTCATCTCATCCCCCCTAAATTATCTTTGTCTATCAGGGTTTTATGACTGACAGTTAGTTTTGYGTTTATGCCAAGAGCTGAGCAGCAGTGGTTGAAACTAATTAAATGCCAATCTGCACAGCTGCTTTTATCTTGCTCTTTCCTCAGAAGCAGGCCTGCTGGAACATACTTAGAATTTAAAATCTGCTGGCATTCCCAAAAAAATGAAAAAAGGTCCTAATGCCTCTCATTGTTTTCTCCTTAGCGTTAAAGTGATTAACTTCTTTCTGGAAGTAGTATGGGGATTATGCGCTCTGTGAAATGGTTTGCTGTAGAATTTAAGCATGAGATACAGTTTAGTAAAATCAGCAAATCTGCCTCTCTGGCTGCCTATTTGTTAGCCCTTTGGAAGTCACTGAAATCTGCAGTTGAGCAGGTGCTGTGGTGGACGGGCTAGTGAGAAAAGTTTGTACAATCCCCCTGGGTCAGTCGGGGGGAAATGAGTAAAAACCAGCAGGACACAGAAAATCRGGTGTGCGTCATGCGTGGTTTCATTCACACCGATTGCAAAATGATGAGAGGCTTTTTTAAAACAGARGAGCAAAACCTTAGAAATATTTACCCATGTCTGTTGATAAATAGTGCATTAAAGCTGCCAGAAACCTGGAATTTGGCTTATGACCAGACTGAATTTTAGCTGTGATGGGRTGTGTAGCTTGAATGTTTTTCAATAGGTAAAACATATTTCTAGTTATGTAGGAGATCWTTTAGCATTGGTTGTATAGTCTAAAGGCTGTGTAGCTCTAAGTATTGGTTCTTGGAAATGAGTACTTTGGGACTTTGGTAAATTTTCAAAAAAAGAGAATCGAATGTTTGACAGAATGTACTGATTCTACTGGCAAATTCAGTGGAGAAATGTCAGTATTTCGCATTGATACTGAGGCTSCCCTGGGATATTATTTATTATCTCCTTTCCTTTGTCATTGTATGTGTTTTCTGTGGTGAGACAGTTCTGGAGTCCCTGTTCCAGGAGAAGAACGCAGCATTTATGTCTTATCACCATGATTCTGCCAAACTCCATGTGAAATGGATAAAGTTTTATTTCCCTTAGGGAAGACAGATAAGAAGACGAAGTATTGCCTCCATTTTGGTCTAGTGAATTTGGATTTAAGRGAAAATACTGTGTTTTTCCTTGAACAGTTTTCTCATAATAAGGGGAGTTGTAAAAGTGTCTGAGGGGTAAGGGATGGTTGCAGTAAGACAGTTGCTGCAGCTGATTTTCTTGGACAAGTTCATTTGATGGGGAAATCTTACTGTGTTTCTATTCTGCACAGTTCAAAACCATGTTAATTAATGTGCATCTCTTTGTTTTGTTTTGTTTTTTTAGTTATCATGGGAGGTCCCCTGGAAAACCAGTACAGGCTGAAGCAGTTTCACTTCCACTGGGGAGCCATAAACGAGTGGGGTTCTGAGCACACAGTGGACAGTAAATTTTACCCAGCAGAGGTAAGAGAAGAAAAGTGCTGCAGAACTTAGGTACTCACATGGACTGGGCGCTGTGTTTCAGGCTCTCTGTAATTAAAATACTCGTTAGGAAGCTCAGAATTTGTTTGACTCAAACTCTGCAGCAGCTTACAAAGAATCAGACCTGCTAAGTGCCACAGCTCTTCTACCTTTTTTTATTAGTAAGTTCATATCCACTGTGTTTTCTGGATGGAGAATTCAGTCTTCAATTGGCCACATGACTGAAAATTTCATTAGTTTTCTCCTCCCAGGATTCTCACCGTGGGAGCTGCTGGATRAGCCTAAAGCGGGCAGCAGAAATCATTGGTATTCCAGCTCTGTCTGGGTGGAATGGCACAATTGCAGCTTAAAGGGGAAAGGGTGGGAGGGTTTGGACAGGCTGGTATTTTCCCTGGCTGAAGGAGCTTCCAAATCTTAGCCGATGTACTACTGAGCAGCAAATGCTGTTTTATGTTTAATGCAGAAGACCTGCTATGAGAGTGTTGGTGTTGTGCACGTAACAGCACAGGGGAAGCTTGGGTTATGCTCTCCATGGCAGAGCCTTCTTTCTATTATGATAGATGGAAATTTTCCTCTGCTCCAATTACAGTAAATTGCTTTTGTGCCTTTAACTGGCATTCCTGTAGACTGTTTCCCACAAACAAAATCCCTTTCACTTGTGTGTTCTTGGACTATTGCTTTGAAAAGAGGAGTGGGGGGAAGGACCAATGACATTTTTGTCTTTGTTTTTGTAGCCTCTGATTTCTGAGGTAGCTCAAATCTCTCAAATCACTCGGGACCAAATGTAGCTAAGATGAAAATAGGTCAAGTTTCTTGGTATCATTGCTCAGCACTGTGCGTGTGTTAATTCTCTTTCATTGATATTTCAGCTGCATTTAGTACACTGGAATGCTGTTGTGTACCCAACTTTTGAAGAAGCTGTAATGGAAGGTAACGGCTTGGCTGTTATTGGAGTATTTTTAAAGGTAACTTCACTTTATATGAAAGCTGTAATGATGCTTTTTTTAATGTTATTGTTGGCAACAGAGATGCAGATTAAAATACTTYTATATATATATATAAAACAAGTATATATATAGTTGTTTATGTTGTTGTTGTCCAAAGTTTTTTATATCAAAAGCACTGATTAAGCTAGATATTTAACATCTCCTATCTGTGTCCTGTAGCTAGGAAAACATCATGAAGGACTGCAGACGTTGGTAGATGCTTTGCCAGCAATTAAACACAAGGTAATTATTTTTAAATGGCCTGGTGGTTCGCTCAGCCTTGCTAGCGCAGTCATTTAACCCAACCAAGATTTTTAGGATAGCAAAACAGTAACTAACACTAACATTTTCTTTTAGCRACCATTGAAAATCATAGCCTGAGGGCCTTGCCAACATGTAGGGAGAATTGTTAGTTTATAGTTGAGGAAAAATATGCCACTAAAGGAAATGCAACTATTTCTTTATAGTTGTATTTTCTATGAATTTTCTGCCTTCTGCCAGGAGAGGGAGCACTGAGCCTCTGACGGAAGCAGCCTCAGAAGCAGCTCGTGCTCTTCTAGGTGCTGGTGCTTTTAGGAGTCACCTAAAAGTCGCCTTTAGAAGTTTGCTGGCTGCTGTGTCCACTTGAAGTCTCTGTGCCTTTATCGCAGTGTGAATGACTTTTATCCAAGCAAAACAAATATTCATGGCAATATGGTAAACACTTCCAGATAAATGCCAAATAATGTTTGTGTAGGAAATGAAGGGCTCCAAAGCTTTTACGTGCTGACTGGTATCTCAGTTGGGGGAGTACTGAAGACATGAATACTTGATGCAACCTGAATAAATTTTTTGTTGTCTTCCCTCTCCCTGCTGCCTAAAATCCTTTGGCTAAAAATAAAAGTATTATCCTCTTTGGAATACACATGGCAGAAATACCTGAACTTGTTCCACCATTCAGCATTTTCTTCTGGTTTGCTTCTAGCTCTCAAAAAGACAGTTTCTTATTCCCTCGCACATTTTTCTTCATTCAGTTCCTAATTATTTGTGGGGATGGTGAAATACTTTAATCTATTCGCTGTCTCTGCTGTTTTAATCACAATTTAATAATTTTATGGTGTTTAAAGTTATTTTTATGTAGCTAATTGTTAGTGTTCACAACATCTAAATTTGCATTTGCATACATATCATGTTCAATATCTAATCTCATTATTAAAATCTTTTTAAAAATCTTCTGTGATTGTCTTCTTGAAATTAAAATTTGAAAAAAAATTTTTTTTTCCTTTTTTTTTTTCCTCTTTTTTTACTTTAGGACACGATTATTGAGTTTGATGTCTTCGATCCTTCATGTTTGATACCTTCGTGCCCTGACTATTGGACCTATGCAGGCTCCTTAACTACTCCCCCACTTACAGAATCAGTCACGTGGATTATTAAGAAGAAACCAATAGAGGTTGATGAAAATCAGGTTAGTTTTGTGCAAACATTTTATTTTACACCATACTTGTTTGCCTGCCTGCTTCTGGAAAAGGGAATTAAAGAAGACAGAAGAGATGCTTTGCTAGCGTCCATCCAAGCTCTAAACTAACATTTACCCTGAAGAATAGGCATGTACATAATCTTAATGCTTTGAGTTATATGAAGGAACAGGACTGGAAGAATAGAAAAGAGCAGGAGAATAAGGAAGACAGCTGGATGTGTACTGTCTGTTTTTTCTTTTCAAATTGAACTTTTTCTCRTCTTTTTCTCTTGGCTCTTCTTCACTCCCACATTCTCTTATGGCATAGAAAGGATTATAGTTTACATAATATTCTAATGACTTTGTGAACATTAGAAATCTGCTCTGTTGCACTTTCTAAATCCTCATTTCCAAAGCTGTAAAAGAAACAGCTACACAACTACTGAGATTGTTGCTTGTTGAGATTCCTCTTTTCTGGGTGCCAGCATATGCCAGCTGAATTCCAGGAAGGATGTAAGCCAAGAAGTTCAGAGAGCTTTATTTAAAGAAGGCATAGGTTACAGTGTTTGGGAATCAGTTCTTTCTCAGAACTGACACATTCAAGAGATAATCTGCCTCAAGATGGCAGATGATTGGCAGCTCATCTTCTGCCTTGATATGGATGGGCMTAATCTCTGTCAGACATGAAGAAATGCTAGAAATTTATGCTAAGATTTCTCAGAATGTAAATGCAATAGTATATCTGATTGGCCATTTCTCATTCTCAGCTGGAGGCATTTCGGATGCTGCTCTTTACTTCAGATGGGGAAGAAGAAAAGAGAATGGTAGACAACTTTCGCCCTCTGCAGCCGTTAATGGATCGAACCGTCCGCTCATCCTTCCAAAACACCCATCTCTTGAATATTGAAGCACAGCCCAAGGACCATGCTCAGCAGATTGGGCCATAGATGGCCCATGAAATGTCAGTCCAGCTTGCAATACCTGGAAATAACTGACATTGTTTTATCATCATTTTTCCTTCTTTTATTATTATTTTTTTTTTGCAGTATGTATATGCTATACAATTTCACAGCCAGCCATTTTCAGTTCTACTAAGTGCCATCAAGAAGCGCATATTAACTCTTAAGTTTGCTCACTTTAAAACAGAGTTCATGTTGCCAGGAATTATTTTGAAAGTTGAAGGAAAAAGGAGAGGAGATCTTGTTCCATGTCTTCTGAATGAAGTGTTCTGTCTCTTTTCAAATATCCTCTCAGTGACTTGAATAATCCTGACTGAAAACAAGCAGGAAACATGAAGAAGTCAGGAGGCTATCAGGTGCATTGCTGAACTGGCTTGGGAGGAGAGCTATCATCTCATTATTTAAGGGGAAAAAAAAAAAAGACTTTATCTTCTCTCTTTCATTTTCTTTAAAAGAAGAAGTACCCAAAACTTGCTGTTTAGGATGACAAGAGGAGAGCGAAAAATCTCATTTATGGTTTCTAGACCTTTTTCATCATGTTTGCTGCATGGTCAATATTTGGAATGGATCAAACCATAGAATGTCTGCTATGTCTGTAGTACAAGCCAGAAGATGTTTTCCAAAACCCAACAACAAATTTAGAAACTTTTAACAGAGAAAAATAGAAGCTGCCAAATTTAATAACATGTGAGGAGAGTCCAGTATGTCAAGACTGTGCGACAGCAACAAATTTGACAAAATTACCCATTTGATCCCAGGAAATTGAACCCATCGGAGCAAAACAAAATTAGCTGAGCCCCAGCTGACCCTGCTGATGGGGAGCAGGGAAAGTGGACTTCCAAAAGCTAATCCTGTGCTAGGAGAGTGGACAAAATGCAGCATTTGGGTACCCGAAAGATTTTTTCGATAGCTTTTAGAGCGCCAGTACATGTATGTTTTTCAACGTTTTGCCTAAAGTTGTACTTTTCTTAGAAGAGAATTACCCAGCTTAATGGGGAGCAAATTCCACTACAGCCCCTTATGGAAATGAAGTTAAATGCGGTGGAATCTTATTTGGGGACCAGACAAAATTGCCTTTTAAGATGCCAGTTGTAGAACTTTCTCTTAGAGTTATGGTCTATGCTAGAATTGGCATAAGCTTTATCTACYTCTGAAGCGTACTGCTAGCCATGACTTTCCCTAGAGTGTATTTCTCACTGACTTAATTTATTGTATTTAACAGGGTGACTGTGCATTCATGTACAATATATGTGATTGGGTTTTCTGATGAGGAATAGGTCTGTATGTGTAATGATGACGTGATCTTGACTGATTGTATTTAAGTGTCTTTTGAGGGAGGCAGATGTTAATTGAGATGCTTCTGCCAGTAGCAAAGTCACCAGTTGCAGGTGTCGTTCAGCACAGGAGATGCCAGGACACCAACCCRTTGATGCTAAATTGACAAATTTGGGATTGCTGCTGAAGGTTTTGTTTTTAAGTTCAAGGGTTTCGTTTAAAGGCACTTTATGACATTTTGGTGTGACCCTGGCTGTTTCAAGGCTGTGCTGCTTTCGTTTAGCTGCTTGAAGTGCCCCATTTCTGCCTCGGCTTCCTTCCTAACTCTACCTCAKGCCCCTGCTGTGCTGCAGCAGTTGTGCCTTTTGCCTTCCTGCCTTGACAATTGGAAATGTGCCCGCTTACCTTAGAGGGATCTACTAAATGGTAAATATAATATCATGTTTCTTCTCTCCCGGCTCTGCTTTACTGGGCAGTTTTTTTGACGCTCAGGCTGGCCTGGCAAGAGGAAAAGCATCCTTGCTTCCTGCTCGAGCGTGCTTGACCTGGAGTCACTGTCAAGTTTCTTTTTAGTACTGTTCTTCCAAACGCTTTTCCGAGGAAAAGAGCAGCAGTGTATAAAGGGAGCAGCAGTTCAGCTTTACGTATCTCACATGTGTCTCACATCCCTTTGGGATTGTTTTTCCTACTCCTTATTAGCCATTGGGAACCAATGKGATGGAAAGTCACCTTAATGCTGCCTTTGCATGTAAAAGCACATGTGACTCAGCAGCTCCCAGCTAGCTATAGGCAGCCTGCATCAGCCAAAATATTTCAAAGTACTGCATTATAAATCTTCAGGTGGCTACGGAGGAGAAGGTGTCAGTGAGGAGCCATCTGTTTGCTTTATTAGTAGAGCAAAACCATTTGGAGTAAAGAGGAAACGACCTGGCTGAGTTTGGCTCAGTTTTGAATTACCAGCTATAAATACACATGAACTTTTAATGTGCTTAAAACTGCAAGCCAGCATCTCTAAATTAGTATAGAATCGCTTCATGTAGGGCACTTTTTTTTTCTTATGGTTATTCATTTAAGGTCGAATGCTCCCCGTCATAAGCAAAAGGCATCTTTAAATAAACTTCATACTACAGCTCAGAGTATTTTAGTTGACTTAGTAATTTTCATAACATTTGCTGCACTGATTTGCAAATGCAAAAATATACATTTTGTTCTTAGGAAGCTACTGTAGTGTAAATGTTTAATCTTCAGGTCTTTTATAATATATCCAACTGAATTCCCATTGATTAGATTTGTTCTCCGGAAGAATTTTTCTTCCCTAATTGCGTGAGTCTCAGCATGCTCACTGCCATGCAGCAGCCGCAATGAGGTAGAATATTTTAGCTCCAGTGATGTAATTAAGATGTAAAATTCTCATATAGATTTAATTACTTTGTTAAAGTGCTGTCATGGAAGTTTTATTAGAGGACTGTAGAAGTTTTACTAGAGAGCTGTATTATCCAGGCGTATAGTTAAGCTACATTTTCTGTGTGTGTGTATATATATATATATAAAAAAAGAATATACAGACACATAAAATTACTCATTTTTCAGCTATTAACTTCAAGTATCTCAAAACAGGGTCAGCCTTAAACTCTTTATACTACCATGCTAGGAAATAAGCTTTACTGGGCTTTTTGGTTGCAKTTTTTTTTCTTTTTTAGTATTATAATGGCTGTATTGGCCTTGCAAAAGTTCACTTCAAGAATAATAATTTTACATGCATTAGGCATATGTGTAAAGTAGGGCATAATTCCTAAATCTTATTTTTTCAGCCTTTTTCGTGGTAGAGGGGACAAATGACTATTTGCTTGTTGGACTTCAGTTAATATTTATAATGATTTTGCACAATTGAGTTAAGTCCTGTTTGCAGAGGTCTGCACACAGGACTCTTGTTTTAGATGGTACAGGAGGGTCCAAGCATGCAGTTCTATTTGCACTTGCATTATAATCACTTTTTTCATAAAAAATGTTTTTTTTTCATAAAAAATATAATCACTTAATACTCTACTAGGAGGCATTTCTGCAGCAACCAGTACCAGGGGTTGAAGACTGAGATGGGATTCGATCTGAGCAGAGAAAGGCAAAATGAGATGAGAAAGTTTTAGAGGGTAGAGTTGCATCCACGTTGGTCCAGCTTGGAATAGAAATTTCCAAGAGAATTTCTCGGTGCCTTTATAGTTAGAATGGCTTTATTTGGTGCTGAATTTTTGGTCCGTGTTCTTGCATTCCAGATCTTTCCAACCAGGACAGTCCAGGTATTCACCATATGTACTTAACCAGTCTTTTGCTGTCTGCTGTTGGAGGTGGATTGCACTGTTATTTTTACCTTATATCAGGTAATATAAATATAAAAGAGCATATGCTTTTGGCTTGGCAAGCTAGAGAAATGGAGCTTGTTTTGCTCTCAGAAATCTACTGGATATTGGAGTGCTGGAGTTTTACGTGGATTGCTGGGGAAGAAAAGTCCCTAATTCTGCTCAGCTTCATAGTCAATGGTATTTGCTTGCAAAGTTTAATGCTTGCATTTTGAGAACCTGGACTTGACATATCTTTGTTATTTTTTGTGGTGTGTCTAGTTGTCTTGGCAGTTATTACATTGCGTATTTTAATGTAYGTTATTTGCTAAATACAAGTTACAGAAATAAGTGCCTTTTTGACCAGCATATATAATGGGGAATGCCTTTTTGTTCCGCTAGGAATGGAGCTTTTTTCTGAGTTTTTACTTGATGTAAACTTCGAGCTGCTGTATGTTCACAATGTTAAACCCGTGTGCAGAAACGCAATAAAGAAACACAGAGAAACCTGTGTCTGCATCTCGTTGTGTAATAAAGCTCTCCAAGTTAAAAAGTAGCTTTTCTGTTGAGAAAATAATACAGTTCCTCCCTCAAAATGAACCAGTTCATTCTGAATAGCGTCTAATCAGATGTCAAACATTGTGAGATGCTTAAAAGCAATGAAAGACTCTGCTGAACTGCATCGGAATTGGAGCGGGCGAACAAAGACCGCTGTGTTAGAGCCCTGCTGATGACAGGACATGCAATTATTCATTATGTTGGTTTGGCTGCATGCAATATGCTGGCTGAAACAGGACTGCAGATTTGGAGGATCTTTGCTAAATAACTTTTTTTTTTTTTTTTTTTGTTCTTATCATTTTGTTCTTATCATTAAACTTGACCTGCCAGATGAGCAAATGCGTGGTGTGACTTACCCTTGAGTTTTGTGTTTAGTGATTCTGCATTGAGTTTTGTGTTTAATGGTTCAGTGTTTTTATGGCTGCAAGAATGCTATCAAATAGCCTTACAGTGCTTTGAATAAAATAAGAAATTACCTTTACCAACAAACATGGGCTACAGGTGAAATAAATTCTGCTACTCTGCCTTGTTGACAGCCATACTTAAGACCCAGGTATCATGCATTTATGGTATGCTGAATTTGTTCAAGGTTTCTTTTCTTCTTTTAATGTAAAAATAGAAGATTATATCCCTGGTTAGGGGATCCTCCCATAAAAATAGTCGTATACAATATTTTTGTATAAGTTCTTCCAAACTCTATTATTTAGTACCATTTGTGGTAGACAAGCCAATTCATCGTGAAGAAAACACAGACTGAGAACACCAAAACCTTACAAATTCTTGCATTAATATAGCTAAGGTGTTTGCTAAAGATGTAATTCGAGTCGGCCGCCTCATTTTGATCAAGGGAGCTCTCCTGGTAAGTGGTTAAGAACATTACTTCTAATAAATGGCCAATTTACTTCTGATATTGCTAATTATTCGTCTTCCTGACAAATAATTCCTTCTGTCTTTCTTTTTGATGTGACAAACCTGAAGTGCCTGAGTATTAGCATATGGAGAACTGATTGTATAATCAAATCGTCTTCAAAGATGCTGCAGAGTAACGTGGGGACCTGACGAGAGTTAATGTCCGTWGGCAGGACTGATAATAATCCTTACCTTTTGGAAAGTGCTTTGAAGATATAAAGCACTATATGGAGACCCCCTAACACCGTGACTGCAAAGAAGGTAATCTCTCGGTGACACCCATGGAGAAACAGTTGCAGAATTAGCTCTGATTAATTTGCAAGAGAGTCAAACATGCAATGCACTTTAGATATGGCTGTTCAGTGGCGCTTGTGCTCTTACTCAGTTGGTTCTTGAGCTGGTGATTTTTCAAAGGAAAAGTGTCAAAACTGAGGTTTAAATTTGCAAATTCTTGGTTCCGRTCTATAGGAAATTTCTGCAGAATTTTACGCAGGGAGAAGAGGGCAATTTGGGCCCATTCATGTAGAAGTTGATGGACGTTTCTGCAATGCGAGTGTAAAATCAGGAATAAATTCCAGTCATTAAGCAGTTAATTGGTTTGCATTAAGGTAGGAACTTAGAACTCTGGAGCCCTGGTGAAGTAAATGCATTGATAAATGACTGTTCMCTCAACTGTGCAACTACGTTTGAGCATTAATCCCCAAATACCTGGTGTCTACTTTATATTTTCTTTCCAGCCCTGCACGTTGGATCTGGAGATAACGCACGGAAACCTGCTGGGACAATCCTGGGGACATTGTCAGCACCTGGGAGGTTCCAATTTCAGAGGTGAAATAAGAAGTAAAATATTGGTAAATCGTTCTTTGAAAAATACTTAAATCACAATGTTAGGCTAGTTTGCTTGGAAAAAGGGTTTTCAGACTGCTGATGGTAGGTGTTTGCCTCAAGATGGCTTCCAGCATGCAGGGAAATGGAGAATATGCAAAATGGAACATCAAGGAATGAAAATGTTAAGATTTTTCTTTCTTTTTTCTTTTTTTCCCAGTACTTGTACAACTTGACTGGCTTGACAGGCAGCAGATCAGTGTTAAGTTTCATCAGAAACAAGATGTTCAGCAACATTACGTGATATTTTCCACAAAGTATCTTCCTGTTGATTTTATTCTCTACAGATCGGATGCACTTTATATTGCACGAACAGTTGCAGGGCGTGGTGGCCATCTGAAGCAAGGAATATTCTTTCTGCAGGGGTAATTTTTGCCTTTTCTTTCTGAATATGGATGCYGGTATACATCTGGAAATGGAGATTGCGAAGGCCTGCGAGAGCAGCACGGGGACAGGCGACCRCTAGGTGTCACGTTCTGATAGTGGCTTCATGGAGCTGCCGGAGCGCCCAGGGCACCGGCCTGCTCCCGGGAAAAGCTTGGAATGGTCAGGATGCTAAAATCTGGGCAAGCCACCTGGAAACGCTGCTCAAGTGCTACATCTTTCCCCACGTTGCAGATATCTCAGTTCTGAGTTTTATTTTGCAGGAAACCTCCGCCCCAAGTGCCCGAGGGGATGTGTGTCGGAACCGTCCAAGGAGGAAGAGCGTGGCCCCGGGAGGAAGGATGCTGACCCTGGGTTTCGGAGGCAGGACGCAGCTCCTCACAGGATGCTTGGCGAGCTGCAGCACCGGAGGAGGTAGCGATCCCTGCTCTTGGTGGCAACACCACCCAGTGCAGACCCGGCCTTCAGCCGCCGGGCTCCTCTGGTGCCTCAGAGCCGCCGCGGAGCCTCTGGGTGTTAAACTGGCTGCTGTGGCGCCTTGGGAAGCAGCGTGCACGGGCGCAGCGCCATGGGGGTGCCCGTTTGGCAGCGGGTGCTCCCGGGCTCGGAGCAGCACCTCGCAGCGCTGCGCAGGGCAGCGAGCGGCGGCGGGCAGCACCGCGCGCCCRCACGGGAGCCCACGCGGGAGCCCGCGCGCCTCTAGGCCCCGCGCCCCGCGTTATCCCCTGCGTGCAATCAAATAGGAGGGGGATTGGCAGGAAAGGATGGGAGGGGATGGACGAACTGGGAAGGGGGGGTCTCCATTCACCCCGTTATGTTCCCAGGTGAGAACGTGCAGTAACGGGGCTGAGCGGCAAGGAAATAACGGCCGCTTCCACAGCCTGCAACCGCCGGCGGGGGGCCTTGCCCGCCCCTTCCCCTCGGATCTCTCCCCGGAGGGGCCGGGTGTGCTGTGCAACACCCCCCTCCGCCCCCCCAGCCTTCCTCCGCCTCCTCCTCCTCCCGGAAAGGAGGCCGGGCCGCGCGGGCGGGCGGCGCTTGCGGAACAAAAGGGGCGGCCGCATGGTGGAGGCTGCGGAGCGCCCGGCCGCCACCATGTCGGGCAGCGCGGTGAAGAAGCGGAGCTCGGCGGGCTCCTCGGCCTCCTCGCTGGCGCAGGAGGATGAGAAGCAGGCCATGGAGAAGATGCTGGAGCCGGCGGCGGGCGGCGCGGCGGCGCAGGAGAACGGCTGCGCCCGCTCGCCCTCCACGGGCTCCGTCGCCGCCGCCGCCGATGACAGCGACGGGGTGGTCCTGCAGCGCTCCATCACGCTGCTCAACGGCGTGGCCATCATCGTGGGCACCATCATCGGCTCGGGCATCTTCGTGACGCCCACGGGYGTGCTGCGCGAGGCCGGCTCGCCGGGACTCTCGCTCGTCGTGTGGGCCGTGTGCGGGGCCTTCTCCATCGTGGGCGCCCTGTGCTACGCCGAGCTGGGCACCACCATCACCAAGTCCGGCGGGGACTACGCCTACATGCTGGAGGTCTATGGCTCGCTGCCCGCCTTCCTCAAGCTCTGGATAGAGCTGCTCATCATCCGCCCTTCCTCGCAGTACATCGTGGCCCTCGTCTTCGCCACCTACCTGCTCAAGCCCATCTTCCCCACCTGCCCGGTGCCCGACGAGGCCGCCAAGCTGGTGGCCTGCCTCTGTGTCCGTGAGTACCTGCCGGGTCCCCTCACTCTGCGGCCACGCGCTGCTCCAGACGCCCGCTGGGTCCCACTGAGCATCCCTGGGAAGACGCAGGGAAATAAAATGCAGCAAAAAATCCCTCGCATCCCCGGGTTGTGACTCGGCACGGGCTGCGCTTTGATCCGGCATGAGGTTTCCCGCAGCAGCGTGTTGGGGAGGGTGAACRGGGCTAGGGCAGCGTGCCGGCTGCGATGGGCACCCGTGTGGGCCCTCGACAGGAGGACRTGATCAGTGGGTGCCGCCGGGGCCCGCGCTGGGCGCGGGGCTGGTTTCAGCACCCTGCTGCGGAGCAGAGCAGCCGTCCCCGGGCRCGTGTGCGACGGCAGCCGTGCCCGGGCACGTGTGCGCTGTCCCCACGGCGCAGCCCGCGCTCGCTCATGGCAGCTGCCTCCTCCGTGACGGCTGTCAGGCCCCGGTGTCGGCCTTGGTGTCCGAATCACCCTCTCCCGCAGCCRTCCCCTCCACGTTGCTCTGCAGCGGTGCCAGCCAAGCCTCATTTCCTGAGCTCCCATTTCCCGATCCCCCTGGTCACACCAGGCAAATTCCAGCTTCTTGAAATGCAGGAGCGTTTTCTGCCTTCCTTTCTTCCTTTCCCATTCGATCCYCTTCACTCGCACAGGGTTTTGCCGCTTTACGCAGGTAGCTGTGTCATGTTGTGGAGATGACCGTTTGGGAGAGCACATGCTTTTCTGTGAGGGCKGTATTAAGCAATTCTATGATTTATTTGGCACCTGAAGTTATCATCGGGTGGGTTTTTTTTCCTTTGTGTTGAGGTAGCAAAGAGAATTCTACTTATTTGTGCTGAGTGCAGGTTTTATTAGATTCCTTTATCACCTGGGGCTCGCCGGCACTCAGAACTTGCAGCGTGTGGTCCCTGCGGGAGAATATAGTCCCTGCGGGAGAATGTAGTCCCTGCGGATCCCTACGTGCACAGGCTGCCTCTTGCAGAGATGTATTGTGTGTCTAGCTAGCAAATCAAATAACCCAGGAGCGAGCAAAGCAGCAAACTGTGCTCCCCTTGGGCGAGCTTGAGCCTTACCCCCAGCTGAACRGAGAGGCTCTAGGCAGTCCTGTAGCCTTTCCACCTCTTCTTAGCAAAGCAAATCGTAGTTATCCTGCATTAAGAGCAGATAGTCACCCAGCTAAGAAAGATGGAGCAAGATCAGGAAATAGTTCTGCTGGTTGGTTTCTTGGAGCAAGCAGAGCCATGCAGCAAATTTGCTTTTATCGCTTTGGTGCTGGTTTGCAGCATGGTGGCTTCAACAGCGGAGAGAGAAGGGGCCTTTGTGCAAGTAGTGTTTATCTTATAATTTATTTGCTGACAAGCTTACGGAATTAGCGAGATGATTAGCTGGGCTTTCTTATTGTCTTGTATCAAAGTTTTGCTGTACAAAAATGTAATGTCGTTGACAAAAGCTTTCAGAATGCATTTCTAAGAAGAATAATTAGCTTTTCATTACAAGGACTTTCCCGAAATACTTGTCATCAGGTGTCCCCATTCCCATTTTGCAGATCAGAAAACAGATACGGGGTAAAGTAGACGTGTCCATTGCAGGATGTATTCAGGAGCAGGATGGATTGCAGCATGAGACTTCTTGAAGCCAGATCTCCTGCCTGCTTTTGCTTCTCCAGTGAATAATATGAACATCTCCAACTTTCTTATGCTGGCAATTAGTAGTTTTCCTGAAACAAAATTTATTCTTGAACCTTTACCTTGAATTTCTCAAGATAAAAGCTGCTGATTCTCCCAATCTGCGTCATTTCCATGTGTTTTTTCTTTAAACTTCACTCTTCCCCGCCTCAGCCCCCCGGCTAATATTTTGTTTATGCTTTGGGTTAAATTTTTGTTTGCCCCTTTTGTTTTAAAAGGTCAGTTCACCAGAGATGGTCTTTGGCAAATTAGTTTGCTGGAACTTTGATTCTTGGAGTTGGCTTTTCTACGGTCTGGTGCCAAAACCACATCGTGAAATAGGAACAGCAAATGAAGTAAATCTGGTCCAAGGGCTTTGCTCGTCACACCAAGCTGCTGTGGACAAACAAGTGCTGTTGTTAGTGGTTGTTCCAAACATTCCCCTCTTTTTCAATAGCTCTAGGGTAGGAAAAATTGCCTTTTTGGGTATATGCTCTATACCTTAGCAAGTTATCTCAGAGAGAAGGGATGGTTTAGGAAGCAAAAAAGGAAATTTGGGTCTCCATACTGAAATACCCGGGATTTACTGAATAGCCAAAGCCCAGGCATCGAGAGCAGTGCCAGTTGTATTCTTTGCAAAGTTTATAATTCATCATAAAGTGGAATTGGCTGTTTCAGCTTCTAGTAGAAGGAGAAGTGGAGCATTTCCACTTAGAGCATTACTGGTGTCAAACAGTTGAATAAATGGTGTGTTGTTCAGTGTCTGCCACTGTGAAACACGAAAGAGAATTCCTAGGCATTAAGATGATCTAAATAAATCTTGTTCATGAAGTTCTAAAGAAAACAAGATGGGTGGTGGATGCAATTTAACTACAAATAGACATTTTCTGCAGTCAAGATCATAATCTACAGACAGTTGAGAAGTCCTAACTTCTGCCGTAAGCAAACACCAATGCTTATTAAAGTTGCCAAATTAAAATATGGGAATTCAGTACAAGGAATTCTTCTGCAAGACAGGTCAAGCTGTTCAACAAAACGTACTTTTATGTTCACTGTGAGCCAGCTAGTGTTCCCCAGTGGTAAGAATTTGCCCGTTTAGTTTAAGAGTTTGTGGATTTCTTGAGTATGGATCCCTTGGTATTGTATTGRACTAATTTATTGGTCTCATAAACTGCACGTTATTACTTGCTCTGTATGAAAGGGCGGCGTATGCTTTTAGGACGAATAAATAAGAAAACCAAATGCTGTGGAATAGCAAAATTGAAGGAAGCTCACTGAGTATCTAAGCATTTTTAAACAGAATAAATTCAAGTTCATGAAATAGAATTTGTGGCTATGCATGAAAGCACAGCAGTCATTCAAATCCCCTCAAATATGATCTTATTTAAACCAAATTCCCCCCTATCAACAGGATGGAGGATCAGTCAGTGGATATTAAATACCTGTATTCGTTTACATTATCGTATCAGTATTTTATACGTTAAAGAATTAATCTAAAGTTGCTGTACTTCACATCTTGATTGCATGTTTGATGCTACGTAAGTAAATGAGAATCTACTATGTAAGTAAATGAGAATCTATTATAGAAGTTGTTTCTTCTTATCTTGGGAAGTCACAGTGGAATATTTGCACATTTCTGACATGCTCGTTTGGGGGTTTTTTTCAGGTTTCCCTGATTTATTTTGACTTTTACATTGATGAAAAAAATGCCTGCTTCTTAAGTGAGATAGCATGTGCATTTTTGAAAGAACTTGTCATTTCTACATGTTGCAGGACCGTGCCAGCAGACACAGGACCATGGGTGGCAGTTCCGTCCCGCCTTTTTCTTCTCCTGTTGAATAGCTGGTGTCCAGTAAAGACCTCAATAATAGTGCTCCAAACCCAGGCTCATATCCATCTCTGAGCTGAACATGGCTCGGGGATGAAAAGTTTCCAAATAGCCAGGTGAAAGTAACTTGTACACTTATTATTTTCTATCTTTTGATTTGCAGATTTCCCACGTGGGAGAGGTGTCTGAAGGTGGCAGAGAGCGTTCCCCGGGGCTAGGGCGGACAGGAGCTGCCGCAGACAGGGCTCACGCTTGGTGTTCCACAGGTGTCTCCACTGATGCTCCCACAGCCACGTCCTCCTTCCCCGTGGCCCCTGCGTCCCCAGTGTGYTCCAACCCACCGTGCTCCAGCGCTTGCCCTTAACTGCGTTTTAACAATACAATCCACTCTGCAGAAGGTGGAGAAACGCTGCTGCTTACATATAAAATTACTCTTGATCTTTAGGGACTTGAGGATCACCTTTTGAAGCTTTTTTTTTTTTATCACTTGTTAATTATATATGCTAATCAGGCACTAATAACTGCTGTAGCCATCATCTGCAACTGCCAAAGCTACTGCCCATGTATGAATCTCCTTGCAGATTTCCTTAGGCTTTGAGRCTCCTGAAATGCTGTTTTGTGCTCTCTTGCAAGCACAAAATTGCAGTTAAGTGCTCGCATATTTGTCCTTTTTTGTTATGGCCAGACTAACAGGAGGAGAATTAGTAGCAGTCAGCTCAGGGTTGAGTCACATCAAGCAACACGTCCTACGGACGCGTGAGCGGCTGCCGCTGCCCTGGTGCGTGGTGAGTTAGAGAAGAACAGCGGTATCGAATGCAGGGTTTGGCAAAAGTACGTCCATGCCTTGAGTGCTTGCCAGATCATAACCATAGGAGTGAGTGTTCAGTGGCAGCATTTCAACTGGAAACTGTTTGTGTTGAAAGCAGGAACATCTTCATCGGGTACCGATGCTCTCCTTGCAGTCTGACAGGCTGGCTCTGTGACCGGCTATTTCAAGTGAGCTCCAGGTAGATTATGAACCCATCAAGTATTAGCTGGTAAGCAAGGAGAAAATGCATCTTAGGCTTGTCTGCTTAAGATGGGTGTATTCTGTGGCATTGATGCTTGGAATTAATCTGTCACGGCAAGCAGGGTGTGAAGCTTTGAAGTTTCTTTTTCTTTTTTTTTCCCAGAAAGGTGGATTAAATGACTGAGCTGTATCTGTAAACAGGCACTTGTTTGATGAGGATGGAAGGAGGAGGTCTTTGTAGAATCCCTGCTGCACGGTTAAGGTTGCAAGGCTGAGATTGCTTTTTTAAATCCACGTTTAATTAGAGAGCATGGCATTAATGAACAGAGCTGCTGACACCAGCAGGGCTCTCCTGAAATGGATAAAGGTTTGGAGGACTCCTATAGCACAGCCTGCAACGACTGCGTTTCTTGGCACTTCTTTTTTGGCTCCCACAACAAATATCCCATTAAATTTAATAGTATTTGAATGATTTACATTACCACTGAGATCTTTCAG